ACTTGGTAGCCCAGGCTGGCCTCGAACTCACAGAGATCCGCCTGGCTCTGCCTCCCGAGTGCTGGGATTAAAGGCGTGCGCCACCACCGCCCGGCTATTGCTAGTTTTATTAGTAACTGTACTGGCTAGTTTAGGCCAACTTAGAGTCACTGTGGAAGAAGGAATCTCAAATGAGAAAATGCCCCTACTAGACTGGCCTTGTCAAGACTGTGGGGCGTTTTCTTGATTGACTGATGTGGCTCACTGTGGGTGGTGCCACCACTGAGCTGGTGGTCCTCGCTGCTATAAGAAAGCAGGCTAAAGTTGGGTAATGGTGGTAGAGACAGGCAGATCTCTGTAAGTTCAAGGCCAGCCCTTGGTCTACAGGGTAATTTCAGTTAGGGCTACACAGAGAAACCCTGCCTCAAAGCAGTCAATCAATCAATAAAATACTGGAGCAACCGGGCAATAGTGATGCACACCTTTAATCCCAGCACTCAGGAGGCAGAGGCAGGCAGATCTCTGAGTTTGAGGCCAGCCTGGTCTACAGAGCGAGTTCTGGAAAGCCATGAAGAGCAAGCTAGTAAGCTATACAGCTCTACAGTCTCTGTTTCAGCTCCTGCCTCTGGGTTCCTGCTTTGAATTCCTGCCCTGACTTCCATGGATGGTGGACTAGAAGCTGTTGGTCACGGTGTTTTATCACAGCAACAGAAACTAGAGTGTAATTTAGTGTGGAAGTAGAAACTTCAAAGTATGCTAGGATATATAGAACGTGTTCCTTTTAGTGGCTGTATTAGATATGTATATGCCACAATGTAGTCAATATTCCTTTTAATTCCAAGTTTTTGTCACAAAGTATATGACACAATGAATATCCCCACACATCTATCTATCATTGTGTTTCTACTTATCTATTGATTATTTTACTGCTATGACACTCACATGAAGGATTAGTATATGTATTTTAAAATGTAAAAGATGCCGTATCTTTCCCCCTAGAAACTATACTTCACTGCCTCAGAATCTAGTCTCTTAATGTGATCTTAGTCTTTGTCTTTCTTTCTTTCTTTTTTTTTTTTAAATATTTATTTATTTATTTATTGTGTATACAGTGTTCTGGCTGCATGTTTGCCTGCAGGCCGGAAGAGGGCACCAGATCTCATGACAGATGGTTGTGAGCCACCATGTGGTTGCTGGGAATTGAACTTAGGACCTCTGGAAGAGCAGCCAGTGCTCCTAACCGCTGAGCCATCTCTCCAGCCCCCTAGTCTTTGTCTTTCAAATTTATTATTTTCCTTATGAGCCAACTTGTTAAAAATGTATTCCTTCAAATTACATCATTTTTGTCATTATAATTAGTGTATTTTTAATAATTTCCCCTTATCTAGAGTAAAGGCTATTTCTGAATATCCTATATTCTATCAATATCCTGAAAATTTCAGCTAGTGACCTTTTTTTAATATTAGTACCAGTTATTTTATTTTCTTGCTTTTCTTTCTATACTTCGTCTTTAAATTGTATGTGAAACAGTAGCGGTTCTACAAGAGGAAGAGAAACTTGCTAAAACACTGTTGAACAAGCAACAGGGACCCCGAGTCAGAGTTACCCAGTACATCAGTCACACATGGCTATAAATGTCTACGGACTGTCGTGTGCTTACAGCATATGGGATTGCATACTGTCTCTTATTAAATACATTAAATCATCATAATATAAAGTGAAAATACCTATGTTTACAGTAAAATTCCAAAGCTGGTGACAAATGTTAGACTTCATGTACATCACTCTAGGTAAAAACAAAATACTAACCTTCAAATTCAACTGAGATTTTCCAGTGTAAATTCTGAAGGTGTCGACGAAGCTTATGATTACTATAAGCTCTGAATTTTTCTTTAGGGCACAATGGACAAGTACGACTGTTTTCTTAAAAAGAAGAAAAAACACAGACCATCAGCTATTAATGCCTGGATCCAGCTACAAGAGTGGCAGGGAACCTCCCCATGTACTCATCCCCCTTCTTAGAGAAATATTTTCTGAACTGCAGGGAGAAAACATTTGGTTGTGGTCCTGGATGTCCTTCAGAAGAACTGTAGCATGTGAATGGCTATTTTTAGCATCGAAACTCTGCTCTGTGTGGCCAGCTGCTGACAGCTGCTGCCAGTAGGAACAGGGAGGTTTAAAAGGTGATGTTGCCTTCGGCTAAACTTTTGCCAGGGAGACTACCACTCCGTGCCTGAGGATGGAAAACGAGCAACAGGGCATTTCTAGACGGCAGGTGTTGGGCAGAGATGCCTGGATATCTGCTATGGTACTTCCCTACTACCCTGGCAGCAGCAGACACAGCTAAAAGACAAGGTAAGAAAAAGAGAAGACAGAGCATAATACATTGCTATTCTCAGGCCCGGTAAAATCAACCCGATCCTGAATGTCACGGTATTACTAAATTTATATGTTTTCCCTTATTTATGGAATATTCCTGACAAGACTAGATCATCAAAATAAAGCATTAACTTAGCAATACAGTACATTTTAAATAACAGTTCTGATAAACAGTGTCCAAGGATTAAAATCTCAGGCTGGCAAGATGGCCCGTAGGTAAAGGCATTACTTGCCATCACACCTGACAACCTGTGTTCAATGCTTGGGACCCACACACTGTTCTCTGCCCTGTCCCACCAATAAGCAGGTAAACAAATAAGAATTACAGTCTCAAATTTTAGCTTCAAGCAATAAAATATACAGAAATAACAAACCAATAATAATTTTAATTCAAAAATATCTTTCACATATAGAATAATGCAAGAATAAGTATAATTCATTTTTGAATATACACTGCTTATTTTAAACAAACATGAAAACTAAGCACGTAGAAGAGCAGAACAGGGACAGATGCGATGGCTCAGGGGTAAAGGCACTCGCCATCAAGCCTTAGGCTCCCTGGGACTCACAGGAAAGGGAAGCACTGACTTCCACAAGTTGCCCCGACTTCCATGAGCATGCTATGGCATGTTCTCTTTGCCAAATAAATAATATATATTAGAGGGCGGGGGGAGGGAAAGAGGGAGGCGCTGTGGAACAATCCTTTTCTACACTATGAATATGTATTACTCTCATCTGCCAGGCAGAGGCAGAGGGAGCAGGAGATGACAGTGCCATGTTTAAGAAAGGTACTGCCACATGACAGAGCGTGAATAAGGAATATGGGTTAACTTAAAATGTAAGAGCTAGTTAGTAATAAGCCTGAGCTATTGACCAAGCATTTATAATTCATATTCGGCCTGAGTCAGTTATTCGGGATCGGGTGGTCAGAACAGATTACAGAGAGAGAAAATATGAGGATGAATACCAAAAGTTGCCCTCTGATTTCCACATGCATGCCATGGCATGCTCTCTTTGCCAAATAAAGATAATATATTGGAGAGAGATACAGAGAGAGAGAGAATGAGGATTAATATCTGGGCAGAGGCAGGAGAGCAGAGCACTGACAACATTTTAGAACTTTGTTCCAACCATGTTGCCTCCCTTTTGTACCAGGGAATTTTAACTGCTTTGTTATTTATTTTTTATTTTATGTGTAATGTGTTTTGCCTGAATGTATGTCTGTGTACTATGGACATGCCTGGTGTCTGGAGTGGCCAGAAGAGGGCATTGGGTCCCCTGGAACTAGAATTATAAATGGCTGTGACCCACCATGTGGGAGCTGGGAATTGAACCCAGGTCCTCTGGAAGAACAGCCCATGCTCTTTACCAATGACCCATCTTTCCAGCCCCTGCTGTGTTATTGAAAACACTGTTTTGGGATGTCTAAAACTTGTTGCTAATTTAATTACCACCTTATAGAAACACAGTCCTTAGACATGAAATTGTAATCTCAAGGAGATTATTTTATTATTGTTCTAGTTCAATAGGAATAAATTTATTCTTAAACTGTTTTCATGAGCTGAGAAATGATGATCCGTTAAAGTTAAATGAATGTCTCAAAAAGACAAAACAGAACAATGAAAACAAGAAAGATATGAGACCTTGTCTCAAAAAACCAAAAACATGCCAGGCGGTGGTGGCGCATGCCTTTAATCCCAGCACTCGGGAGGCAGAGCCAGGCGGATCTCTGTGAGTTCAAGGCCAGCCTGGTCTACAAAGTGAGGCCCAGGAAAGGCACAAAAGTACACAGAGAAACCCTGTCTCGAGAAAATAAATAAATAAATAAATGAAAAAAACACCAAGAACAAAACAGAAGTGTGTGTGTGTAGCCCCAAACGTGGATATACCTGTGTTCTGATTATCTGAGTTCAGTGAACTGGCAGAATCAATATCTCCTTCAGTCACAAATGCTAACTTCTCCAGATCAGCAAGCCGCCTTTGAATTGAGATGTGTCTCTCTGAAAAGAAGTTTTAAGAGTTAGAAAACTGTTTTAGCATTTTTTTCCCATTCCATTTTTAGTTATCCACATCATACATTTATACAGTACCTCATGGGGACGGCTACAATTCAGATTAGAAAACGGCAAGTGTACTGCAGAATGAAAAAAGTTGTAGAGAAAAACTCCATTGTGTACATTTCAGCTTTGAAATTTTATTTAGTCAAGGTAATTCCATGGAAAATGTTTCTACCCTTGGGGCTGGAGGTGTAGCTCAGTTGGTAGAATACTTGCTTAGCATCCAGGAGTCCTGAGTCTAATCCTCTGCACCACATAAATAGTGCACGATGGTGCACCTGTAATTCTAGCACTCAGAGGTAGAGGCAGGAGGACAGGAAGTTCAGAGTCATCCTCAACTACAAAGTATCTTCAAAGCCAGCCTGGGATATATGAGAGCAGGTCAAAAACAAAACGAAACAAAATTTCTACCCTGTACAAACACCTAGAGAACTATAATCCATGTTTTGTGTCTTTAAAGAACTTCATTACAGGTAAGAGACTAAGATGCTATTTTTAACATAATAGCTATATAATGTAACAAAAGGTAAAATGAAATGAATATGATATAAAGATTGATACCAAGGAATACCTAGTCAATTCTAGCAAGTGGCTGAGAATATTACTTATTAGAATTAACAAATTGTGAATACAATTTCATAACCTAGTTATAAACAGAATTTCAATTAAGTAGACTTGGTGACTAGCCTTAGCCTTTTTTTTTTTTTTTTTCTGTTTTCAAGACAGCTTCTCTGTGTAGCCCGGGCTGTCCTGGAACTTGGCTCTGTAGACTAGAATACCTTTACCCACAGGGCCATCTCATCAGCCCAAAAATTAGTTCTTAAATGCAATTAATATGTATTTCAATTCTAATATAGTTTATATTTCCCAACTGTTTCTTTTTTTTTCTTATTTATGTACTTTCAGATTTCTTAAATATTACACATTCCTCAAGTTGTAAATTGTGAGAGTTAAGCTTCCCAAAATATGTTTGACCATATTCTTGGTTTGGTATGTATGTGCGTGTGGCCGGGGGAAGCAGTCTCAAACTGTTATGAGTAAAGTAGAAATAATCTAGAAGTGAGTGGAAAGAGAAGTTGAGTCAAAGGAATCAGGAAAGTAGGTTCAGAAAGAACAAATGGTCAGGAGAATCAAGGAGGAGGAGCCAGAGGGGAAGAGCATATGAAAGGGAAATGCACAAAACCAAGTATTCCGGCTGGAAAGACAGAGAAAAGACTACTGTATTTAGTATTTAGTACACGGTCTCCTCTGACTTTTCCTCTTTCTCTCTTTCTCTCTTTTCTTTCTCTCTTTTCTTTCTTTCTTTCTTTCTTTCTTTCTTTCTTTCTTTCTTTCTTTCTTTCTTTCTTTCTTTCTTTCTTTCTTTCTTTCTTCTCTCTCCCTCTCCCTCCCTCCCCTCTCTCTTTCGAGACAGGGTTTCGAAATTTGGCTGGAATTTGGCTCTGTAGACCTCAAACTCAGATCTGCCTGCCTCAGCCTCTTGAATGCTGGGATTAAAGGTGTGTGCCACCACTGTCTAGCTTCCTGTGGTATTTAAAAAGTGCAAAGACTAACTAACCAAATGGGAAGAGAAAGAAAATACAGAAAACCACAGCAGATGGTTTTCAGCAACTTTGGTGCTGCAGAAAAGGAGACAGATGAGACTGCGATTTGTCTTTTCTGAGGATGGAGAGTTCCAAGTGCATGTGCATTCCAAAGGAAAGGCAATTTAACAGAGTGGGAACGTGGATGCACAAGACCAGGTGATGTGAGCTGACAGGCAGTTAACCTCTCCAAAGAGAAAGAGATACTGGAATAAACCTCAGGGCTTAGTCAATATGCTAAATAATTTAAAGCCTCTAATCCCAGCACTCGGGAGGCAGAGGCAAGCAGATCTCTGTGAGTTCAAGGCCAGCCTGGTCTACAAAGCAAGATCCAGGACAGGCTCCAAAGCTACAGAGAGAAACCCTGTCTCTAAAAAAAAAAAAAAAAATTTAATTTTAATTTAATTTTTGATGCTGCCACTTTCCTGTTCTTCCAGCTTCATTCTTAGTCCAGTTATTCACATTCACTCATGTGTATACTCTGTGTCCTTTTTTGTCTTTCTCATAGTAAACACCAAAAAGGCAGCAGTTGTACTTGATTGATCTTTCTGGTGGCTGAATGTCAAGTGCAGAACTGGTGCTCAGCAGGCACTAAGAGGAGTTACATGGGTTTTTTTTTGTTGTTGTTGGTTTTTTCCCCCCAGAGCTGAGGACCGAACCCAGGGCCTTAGCAAGCGCTCTACCACTGATCTAAATCCCCAACCCCTAGTTACATCGTTTTAAAAACCCATTAGACTTTTTGAATGTAGTAGCATATTTTTATCACTAATTCTGGAATCCAACACCATCAGACACTTCTGCTCAAAAGCTAATTTTCTAAGCAGAGTGACAAATACCACTGTATTACTTTTTTCTTTTCTTTTTTGAGCTAGGGGCTCATTATATAGCTAAGACTGGTCTGGAACTCACTACACAGCCCATGTTGGCTTCAAATTTATTATTCTCCTTCCTCAGTCTCCCAAATGCTGGGGTTACAGGTATGTGCCACCATGCTGGCTTGATTAACTTCACATACCAGGCCATGCTCAAAAAGTTACAATGAGATATAGGGAGGGAAAAAAAAAGCATCTTTAGTTTTTAGAGCTGATAGTAATGGTCAAAAAAGAATCTGTGGGAGACTCCGGATAGACAAGGAGCCGGAGTGGGGGCGGCGGGCTGCCAGATCGCGTGTAGAGGGCAGGGGCGTGCGAGTGGGTGCTGGCCGGGTGGCCCTCGCTTTCCTCGCGTGGCTGCGGTGTCTCCCACCGGCGGCCCGCGCAGTGCGGCGGGAGCGGGCTGGGCCTGGCGCTGGTGGCGGGGCGAGCGCGATTGTTGTTGGGCTTTGGTGCTCCCGGATAATCGGGAGCTCCCTGGGCCGTGTCTTCCCAGTCCCCCGGCTGCTGGAGTCCCCTGCTCCTCCCGGTGCGTTGCTTCAGGCACGCATCTCTATGGGCTCTCAAAACCGTGGGACTTGCTCAGTCGGCCACCCAGGACCCAGGGCTGGCAGGAATAAACTGTAGTAAGGCTCTTGCCTCATTCCCGCTGGCCAACTCTTGTTACGTTTTCATTTATGGTTCATAGTTGACTCGGCTGAACCTTTGTCTTGTGCCTTGGCCCGAGTGCTCCCTGTTTCTCATGGACTTGACCTCAGTACCTCCTGCTATCTGTGTACCCCAGACTTCCTTTTCCAGTAATAATGTGTGTGGCATAGCTACAACATCTAGACATTTCTTCTCTACTTTGAGGATAAGAACATTCACTTTTTGATGTCTTGTCTGTTGTATAATCATGCTTTGTAGAAAAGCCAGGCATGGTGCTTCCTGCTTGTAATCCCAGCACGGAGGAGGCAGAGACAGTCGGATCTCCAGCATGGACAGGTGACGTGTGGAGACAGAAGAAGAAAACTGTCAAGGAACTCAGATCATTGAGTACTTGTTTTTTGAACCAACTTGAGGATTTATCTGGTCAACATGAAACGCTCCTCTGGTCATGACAGAAGGGAGAGCCACAGTGCACACCACCGGAACTCCTCCCCAGAAGACAGAGGAAGGGACCAAGAAAAACACAGAGAAAGGAAAAGGTCCCGGAAATCCCCATCTCCTGGAAGAAGAAGCCCAGAACAAGCAGTCACCCAGAGTTCTACTCAGGAAGAATCTACCATGAAGAAGAGGAAGGATGAGCAGGATCCACTGCTTACTCGAACTGGGGGAGCGTATATTCCTCCTGCAAAGCTCAGAATGATGCAGGAACAAATTACAGATAAGAACAGCTTAGCGTACCAGAGGATGAGCTGGGAGGCCCTGAAGAAGTCAATTAATGGTCTTATCAACAAAGTCAACATTTCCAATATTAGTATTATTATCCAGGAGCTACTCCAGGAAAATATAGTCAGAGGGAGAGGACTGCTGGCCAGGTCCGTGTTGCAGGCACAGAGTGCTTCTCCAATCTTTACCCATGTATATGCAGCCTTGGTTGCCATCATCAATTCAAAATTCCCGCAAATTGGAGAATTAATTCTAAAGAGACTAATTCTCAATTTCCGAAAAGGATATCGAAGAAATGACAAGCCACTTTGCCTGACAGCTTCAAAATTTGTGGCACATCTTATAAATCAAAATGTGGCACATGAGGTTCTATGCCTGGAGATGCTCACTTTGCTGCTGGAGAGACCAACAGATGACAGCGTCGAGGTAGCCATCGGCTTCCTCAAGGAGTGTGGACTCAAATTAACCCAGGTGTCACCAAGGGGAATCAATGCTATCTTTGAACGCCTGAGAAACATTCTGCACGAGTCTGAGATCGACAAAAGAGTGCAGTACATGATCGAAGTGATGTTCGCTGTACGGAAGGATGGCTTCAAGGACCACCCTGTTATTCTAGACGGACTTGATTTAGTAGAAGAGGATGATCAATTTACCCATATGCTCCCCTTGGAGGATGACTACAATCCAGAAGATGTTCTCAATGTTTTCAAGATGGATCCTAGTTTCATGGAGAACGAAGAAAAATATAAAGCTATTAAAAAAGAAATTCTTGATGAAGGAGACAGTGATTCCAACACAGACCAAGAAGCTGGAAGTAGTGAAGACGAGGAGGAGGAAGAGGAGGAAGAAGGAGAAGAGGAGGAAGGAGGACAAAAAGTAACTATTCATGACAAAACAGAAATCAATCTAGTCTCATTTCGGCGTACAATATATCTAGCTATTCAGTCAAGTTTAGATTTTGAAGAATGTGCGCACAAATTACTGAAGATGGAGTTTGCTGAGAGCCAAACAAAAGAACTCTGCAACATGATTCTTGATTGCTGTGCTCAGCAAAGGACATATGAAAAATTTTTTGGATTGCTAGCTGGGCGGTTTTGTATCCTGAGAAAAGAATATATGGAGTCGTTTGAAAGTATATTTAAAGAACAGTATGATACAATCCATCGCCTGGAGACAAATAAATTGAGAAATGTAGCGAAGATGTTTGCCCATCTTTTATATACTGATTCACTTCCATGGAGTGTTCTTGAATGTATAAAGCTTAGTGAAGAGACCACTACATCATCTAGTAGAATTTTTGTTAAAATATTTTTCCAGGAACTATGTGAATACATGGGTCTTCCTAAACTGAATGCGAGGTTAAAAGACGAAACTCTACAGCCATTCTTTGAAGGACTATTACCTCGAGACAATCCACGGAATACCCGGTTTGCCATCAACTTTTTCACGTCCATAGGTCTCGGAGGTTTAACGGATGAACTTCGAGAACATTTGAAAAACATACCCAAGGTCATCATAGCCCAGAAACCAGAGGCTGAGCAAAAGAAAGCCTCCCTGACCTCTTCGTCCTCAGCATCCTCCTCGGAGTCGGATTCCTCCAACTCGGACTCTGAGGGCAGTGAGAGCAGCTCAGAGTCTTCCAGTGAAGGAAGCGACTCGTCCTCCTCATCCAGCAGTCAGAGCTCTGCCTCAGCTAAAGATGCAAGAAAGAAGAGACGAGGGAAGACCAGAAGTGAAGAAGCAGAGAAAGCCGCCAGGGGCCAGCAGACACGTGACAGGAGGCGCGAAGGAGGAAGGGAGGAGCAAAGGCACCAGGAAGGGAGGACTGAGAGAGCAAGGTCTGAGAGAGACAGAACTCAAAACTCACGAAATGCTGACTGGAGAGATCCCCTAGCAAAGTCCATGGCTGACAGAAGCCTTCCTTCCCAAGAAAATAGTTACAGTAGAGTTGGGAATGGCCGAGACCAAGACCTGCACAGAGAGCTGGAAGACAAGCATGGTGAGCCAAGGAAGAAGCGGCGGGAGAGAAGAGAGTCTTTCTCTGAAACTGAGAAGCCAAGAGCCCGAAATCAGGACAGTGAGCGAGTCAGAAGGAAAGATCGCTCTAAGTCCAGGGAAAGGAGTAGAAGACATTCAGGCCATAAAAGTGATGACGACAGGTATCAGAATGGTACTGAGAGACGATGGGAAAAATCTACCAGATACTCTGACCATTCAAGAGAATCCAGAAATCACGACCGGAGGAGAGAAAAGTCCCCAACAAGACAAAAATAATCCTAATGACATAAGAACAGGCCTTACACTCACTTCTGATGTCTTTTCTACATTGATGGTTTTATAGAGAACTCTTGTATAAAGTACCTGTTTGTATCTGTAAATTTTAAAGATGTTTTCTTTTTGACATGTTTTATAATTGATAACATCTCAAGGTCCTCTGTAAATCTTAAAGAAAAGGGTCTCAACAGAGGGGTAAGTCTTACCTTTTGTGAATAAAAGGAACAAAAATGCTCATTGAATCATTATTTTAAAAAAAAACATTTTTCTATATGTCCAATAACTAAATTACCATAATTATTGTGGCTTTATATATAACCAAAGGCCAAAATAAATAAAGCATTTCCATTTTTTACAGTAAAAAAAAAAAAAAAAAAAAAAAAAAAAAAAAAAAAAAAAAAAAAAAAAAAAAAAAGAATCTGTGTGTACACACTAAACTACATTTGAAATCATGAAAGGTTCTGTGTCATAGTTCAGACACGTATGTACAAGTTATATAATGTTGCATAAAGGTATGCTTAAACTATTCTGTCATGTAGTACAAAGTAAGAGAGAGAGCCTACTAAGTTAGAAAAAGTTAACTGAAAATGGTGTTATCCACTATTGAAGGAAATTTAAAAACAAAAACAAAAACAAAACCCTGTCTGAAAATTTGTGATAAATCTAAAGTATCTGTCAAATCACTTTTTGGCTTAACAGGGTAGATATTATTCTGTATTTAAAGCAGTCAACTTGTTTTTTGTAACATACTTATAATCAAGAAATAATCAAGAAAGCAAACCTGTTGTTAAATCAGATAAATTCGATATACTAGAAGGTTCTTTCACAACTCCTGTTACTCTCTCCTCAGTTTCCAACTCTAGTTCAGAATCACCATCTTCACCTTGCCTGGCTGCTATGACTGACTTCAAAGGACTAACCAGGTCATCTGCAAATACATCTTTAATAGTTAGTATGTGTTGGAAGGTTTCTTAAACAGCACATGTTCTTCAAGCTACACATTTATTTTAGCATTTATATGCAAATATTTCCAGTCCCTTTCCTCCAACACTTACACACCCTTTTTGAGGCAATGTCTCTTTAAGGAGCTAGGTTGATGTCTAATTTTCCAGCCCCCCCCCCAGTCTCTCAAGTGCTAGGATTGTGGAGCCACATTCTCTGCCCAGTGTCAAGGTATTAAAACGGTGAGGGGGTGAAGAAGGCATGCATTCCCCAAACTCCTGAACTACTTCAATTTAAACATAATCAGGAGGGCAGTTGCTACTTCCTTAAGAGTGTAAAACTCCCCACCCATCAGATTGTAGGTAAAGAGAGAAAGAAAGAAAAAAGGCTGTGCTTTGCACTAAAAGCTAAGCTCTCAAATGACCAGGAGCCCACTGGCTGATTTTGTCCTTCCTGTCACTAGTCCCGCAACTTTTAAACGTGGTTTCACAACTGCAAAACAATTCTCTTAGATTATGACCGATTGGCCTAGGAATAGTCAATATGAATTAATTTCTCATAAGTGCTAATTCTGAAGGAGTATGAAAAGATCATTTTATGGACCACATGACTTGCTGAAAGAACGTGCTGCATCTTTCTTAGGCCCACTGTACAGAGTGTTAAGAAGATCCTTAGAGTGCTAATTACCAATCTTGTGTTTCCTATATGATCCAATAAACCACCACTCAGAACACCTATAAACACTTTCAGGGAACAAAAACGTGGGCTCTTAAGTTTTCACGATCGTCCTCTGATGGAATGAAGTACAAAGCTCAACTGGAATTGAGCAGATTCTTCTCCATACAAGACATGGATTCCAAATTCTTTTGGAAGCCAGATCTACTACAGAAAATTTAGTAAGACAGATTCACCTGTGTGTGTCTGAGTCCTGACTGAAACACGAGGGTTTCTAAATCTTGACGGGCTCTACACCTCAGAGGCTGCCTCCGTACCGTAACAAGTAGAAAGGAGTTATTTAACTATCGTGGATGGAAACTACTAGAGACACTAACCGACACAGCCACTAATCAATCTCACTGTTTATTTTTATCTGCATCACCCCGGCCTTCCCGATGACATCCTCGAGGTTTATGGAGGTATCCCCTTTTCCATTCTGTACTCTTTTTTTCACTCTTACCTGCCGATCTGGTTCCTCCTCCTCCTCCCATGTCCCTAAATCTGCCTTTCCACATTAAAAACCACCCCGGAGAAGGGAGGGCCTCCTCAGCGAGGCACGGTTTCTCGCTTCTCTGCGTGCGGCAGAAAGATCGGGCCGTCTGCACTTACTGCTTTCAGCCTCCTCGGGGACAGAGGCTAGGGACGGGGACAGGGCCGGAGCCGGGGCCGGGGCCGGGGCAAGGGCTGGGGCTGGAGCCGAGTCCGGCGTCGGAGCCGAGTCCAGAGCCGAATCCGGGGCCGGGGTCGGGACCCTGACCTGGGCCTCCTCCTCCTCCTCCTGGGGTGGCAGCTCCTCCTCCGCCATATTCTCCATAGTTACGGCCTCCGTGCCGGGGGACGCGGAGGGGACTCGCGGCGGAGCGAGAGAATTGACGTTAATGCCCACAGGGCCGGATCCAGGGCGGGGGACGCAAATGGGAAGGCTGCAGCCCGTGCCACAGACAGTGACCCGACCCTGTCAGCAGGGAAAACAAAAAAACCAGAGAGCCAGAGGCAGCGGTTCGAGCTTCCCCGGCTTCCCCTTCCCCGAGGCGTTACGACGCCACCACGGACTGCGCAGAAGCGTGTCGCGGACAAGCGTCCAATGAGGAGAAAGAGTGCCGTTTCCTCGGTGCCTCTGGGCTCCCCGGGGCCGCCGCCGAACCCCGCGAAGACTACAAGACCCAGGAGCCCTCGCGCCACCCGGGCGGGGCTCAGTTCCGGCCCTCGGAGGAAGTACACAGAGCTCAGAGAACTCTAGAATTCCCCGGAGCGTTCCGCGCCTGGAAGGAGGGGGGGGGGGAGTGTGAGGTCCGAGTCAGAGCGCGGAACTACATTTCCCAGCGTGCAGCGGGCTCGGGAAGGAACCCTTGGCATCCGCGGGGGACTGGGGAGTCGCCGCCGCCGCCTCCTCCGCCGCCGCCTCCGCTGCCGCCGCCGCCTGCGGCGCTGGTAAGTTAGGGTGCTGCGAACTCGTGGGCTTGTCGCTGGGCAACAGCGCCTTTCACGTCTTGGCCTCCGCTGCCCCGGCGCCGGCCGGGCTCGGGACTTGGCGAGCGGAGGTATGGCGGGACGCTTGTGTGGAGGGTGTGGCGGGGAGCCAGGTTGCTCCAGCTGAGGTGAGGGAGGGTGGTGGATGGCGGCTTCCGAGGGGCGTGGGCCTCGGCAGGGTAGGCAGCGTCGCGGGGGCGCTCTTTGGTCAGCCCCCGCTGAGGGAGAGTCCTGGGTCTGCTGCACCCCCAACTTTACTCACACTCCTGACCGGACCCCCCCTTTTCACTTTTTTTGGTTGGTTGGTTGGTTTGTTTGTTTTGCTTCAACCTCAACGTGACCAGAGGCAAGGGCGGTGTGGTTGGAGGAGGTGGTTTTTGCTGTGAATCGCCGAGGTCGGCGCTTCCCGACACTTGGATGCATTTTAGGTTCTCCAAGCTAGAGGACCAGTGAACCCTCTGCACCTCGGATTTTCTCTTTTTATTTTTTATTTATTTTTATCCTGGACTAGTTTAGCACCGAAGCCTTTTTTTTTTTTTTT